TATTTGGCCATTACATATCACCCTTTCTCTTTGATTTTTATTACTTTTGTTTATATTTTATTCCCCTGAATGTGTGATTTTTATTCAACAAATAAAACAAATAAACTACATGAACAAAAACCTTAAATATAGGACCAAATGAACATAAATAGGAAGAATAAAAAAAATGTAATAAAATTAGTAATACAAACTATAATGAAATCATCAAATAATCAGCACATAGACACACAACAGTAATGAATTTTCATAATAAAATAGGACAACTCACAATTAAAATTAATAGGATATTTTTTTTTTAATTTTTTTATTACAACTAATAGGGCAGTTTCAAACAAGCAATTAGGCATTCCCAAAAATCTAATTGGACAAATAGCTCGCCAATGTTGAATCAGCTCATGAATGGCGTGTCTGATAAATAGTTGTTCCCCTACCAAATTTGTACTTCTAGTCAATTTTTCACTTATAAAATATATATATATAGTTACATACTAAAAAGGGGTTGAAATTTCAATGAGAAATTGATGGGAGTATATATATATATATATATTTCAACCCCTTTTTAGTATATAGTTACAGTTACAGTTACAGTTACAGTTATATATATATATTTTTTTGGTTGTATAATATTGTCATACTTTTACTTATTATTTTGATATATTTGTGATATGTAGAACTTTTCTCCAAAGAATCCTCCAGGGAATCAAGAACCATTTGTAGATGATTTTGCCAATCTAAGAGAGATGGAGAGAGAGAGAGAGGGCAATCAATTGAATGGGTAATTGGGTTATTTCGCAATCGACAGTTTAGGAATTAAAAAAAGAATTACAAAATTTCCATGTCATGTCAGCATTTTATAATTCTCCACTAATTTGAAAAATTTGAGTTTGACTCCATATTTTTAGTATTTGACCACCAAAACTTTATTTTTTTAGAATTATCCCAATCTTTTATACTCACCCTAACTACTTAAAATGTCTCAATCCTTTTAAAAGATGTTATATTTTAAGTCAGGCGCCAAATAGACTCAGTATAAGTGGTTTTTTTTTTTCCTTTTTTTTTTTTGGTTGGGGGGGGGGGTCTATACTCCTATTTACAATGTCTCAATCCTTTTATAATCTAAGGTAAATTACACAAAAATCCCTTGAGGTTAGGTTATTTTCAGGTAGATGAATATTTTGATTTTTAATTTTCACTTACACCCCAATTTACTTTTTGATCTCAAATACATGTGAATTAACACTTTACACTTAAATTTTTAATATAAAATATCTTTAATATTAAATAACATAAACACCCCCTCAACAATTTTGTGTATGTGGTCTCCCTCAAAATATAAAAAAAAATTATTTAAAAATAAAATTTTCTTAAAAATTTTGATGTTTACAAACATGGAAAAGGAAAATGTAATTTTCATATTTATAAGAAAAAATAATAATAAAAAAATAAAATAAAGACCCATGAAACCTGACTGACCCGCCCAAAATATTGATGTTTAAAAAATAATTTAAATTTTTTTTTTTGATATTTATAAACATGGAAAAGGAAAATGTAATTTACATATTTGTAAAAAAAAAAAAAAAAAAAAAAAAAAATCCTAATGAAATCCGCCCAAAATATTGATGTTTAAAAAATGATATTTTTTTTTTTTTTTTAAATTTTGTTATTTACAAATAGAGAAAAGGAAAATGTAATTTGCATATTTGAAAAAAAAAAAAAGATGACCCGTGAAACCCGCTCGACCCGCCCAAAATATTGATGTTTAAGAAATAAAATTTTCTTAAAATTTTTTATGTTTGCAATCATGGAAAAAGAAAATGTAATTCGCATATAAAAAATTAAAAAAAAAAGACTTGTGAAACCCGTCCTACCCGCTAGGGGTGGCAAATGAGCGGGTTGTACCGGGTTTGGGTTGTGTTAAAAATGGGCGGGTCAATATGGGTCCAAGCCCATATTAAACCCATTAAGAACGGGTTAAAATAGGTAGGTTGAAAACGGACAGGTTAAACTCGTTATCACCCATGGACCCATTAATTATTATTTTTAATTTTTTATATTTTTTTATTTTTAATTTTTTTTTTTATTTAAACTTGATGGGAACATTTCTGGTGCCTCTGCCGGTGTTGAGAACTAGCCGGAACCGGAGCAAGCCCACTCGACGCGGGAGTATGTGCTCCTTCCCTCTTAAAACCCCACCAACCTACTCTCTGCATTTACTTCTCATAATTAGATTTTTGAAAACCAGTTTCAATGTCAGATGGATGATAATGATTTTGGAGAGAGATGTAATAAATTTCAAAAAATGTTTATATTTTTTGATAAGTATGCATTGATGAAAATGCCTGTATTTTAAAGGAGTTGGCTGCTTTAGATTGTATTTTATAATTTTTTATCAATTAAATGCCTGCCTGCTTGCTTTACTGAAAAATAAAATAAAATAAGAATTGGAAAGAAAAATAATAATAATAATAATAATAATAATTCTGAATCGAATATATATATGTTTAGCTACCAAACACAACGTCATAGTTTTTCATAGTTTTTATTCTTTTAATTATCCAATCACAGAGAAATGTTAATACTATACGCTTATGTCTATCTTAATTAATAGTTTAATACTAGCATTTTCTTTTCTTTCTGACACACTCATCAAATGCTCAGCCTGATGGTAAGGATGTCTCGGAATAAAATTGAAATAATAAATAAATAAACATTTGTAATGTGCAAACAGAAATCTCCAAAGTGCACTTTACTTCATGAACTCATATATATATTCATATTTTTCAAACTTCCTTAGTACTCCGTATATATACTTTTCACTCTTTTCCTCACTTTTTTTATTTGGAGAGAGATGTCAATGTATAAGATGGATGATAATTATTTTGGAGAAAGGAGCATTGGTCCCTGGGCTCTGGCCCTTATTTTTTTAATTTTAAATTTTTTAAATTTTTTTTTAATTAAATTTTTTTCTTCATAAGGTTTTAAATTTTTTTTTTCTTTTTTTATTTTAATTTTTATTTTTTTAAAATTATTATTATTTTTATTTTTGAAGAAATTTCTAGAGAGAGAAACTTAGGCTATGTTTGGTAAAGTGGGTTTGAAGAGAAAGGATAACATTAGTTATGAGGGAAAGGGAATGAAAGAGAATAATAATTTTAACCCTTCATCGTGTTTGGTTGATTAATGAAGGAAAAGAAAGGGAAGTATAATAATCATGTTTGGGAAAAGGAAGGAAAAGAAAGGAAAGAGAATTATTTTAAAAAATTTACTATTATACCCTTTTTTCTATTTTAAAAGAAAGAGATATATATTATCACCTATACATTTAACACACACAAACAGTTACATACCCTTTTTACATTTATGTATTTAGTATTAAAAATAATGCAATAGCAAAATTTTAGCAACCTCCTAAAAAAAAAAGGGTAATAAAACACACACAAACAAATACATACCCATTTTACATTTATGTATTTCGTACTAAAAATAATGCAATAGCAAAATTTTAGCAACCTCCTAAAAAAAAAAAAAAAAAAGTAATAAATGGCCTCTGTGTGCACATGAAAATAAAAAAAATAAATAAATAAAGGGCAAATCATTTTAGCCTCCCCAATCTCGCCTCCATGTCTATTATATATATATATAAGTTTCCTAGATGAGCCACAAGAAAAGAAAAAAAAATTAGGGCAAATCATTTCAGCCTCCCCAATCTCGCCTCCATCTCTATTCTCGTTCTCAACTCCAAACTTGTCCCCCCTCTCTCTCTTTGTGCACTACAAGAATCAGAAGTTCAAAACCTATATATTTCAGTTTATCTATCTGTCTGCAAGAATCAAAAGTTCAAAACCTGTATCGATATATCATTTTAGATTGTTTAGAAAATCAAAACCCATATCTTTCAGTTTCCATCGTCGCTGTTCCAGTTCGGGTTCGCCATTCGCACGCTTCAATCACCGGCCCGCCGTTTCTCACCTCTTTGCAACTGCTAACATGTATGTATATTGCTTTACAAACTTGTGTAATCTTGATTGGCATCACATCTCCTCCATCAGCCATCGCCTTCACTTTCCTTTCATTTCCTCCCCTTTTTGGAAGGATAAGAAAAACACTATTGAAGCTTTGACATAACCTTCCAAACTCTTCCCTTTCCTTCCAACAATTTTTGCCAAACACAAATTTTTAATCCCCCTCCATCACCTTCCCTTCCCTTTCCATCCTTTCCCATTGCACCAAATTGACCTTTAGAGAGAAGAGATTGATGAGAGACAAATTTAGAGTGAGAAGATTGTGAGTGATAAAATTTTAGAAAGAAAAATGAGTTGAGTGCAATATAAAATAGATGTGTGTTTATTATGTGATGGGTGAAATATGGGTTGAATATGGTTAACCATATTTAACCTATTTTGACACTCAAATTAAGCTGTTAAAAATTACATAACCCATCTTTTATTTTATTTTTTTTCTAAATATTACCCAACCCATCTTGACCCTCAACTAAATATGGTTCACCCATAACCATTAAAAAGCGGGCGGATATGGGCGGGTTGATGGTTCCTGACCCATTTTGCCACCCCTACTACCTGCCCAAAATATTGATTTTTAAAAAGTAAATTTTTTTTAAAACTTTTGATGTTTACAAACATAGAAAAGGAAAATGTAATTTGGATATTTGCAAAAAAAAAAAAAAAAAAGACCCGTGAAACCATCCTGACCCTTTCAAAATATTTAGGTTGGGTTATGAACATAACCCATTTTGGATAGAATTTAGGCTAGCCAACCCTACCCGAAATAGAGTTGAGGTTGAGTTGGGACTGGGTTGAGTTGGGCAGCCAAAGTTGCACCCCTAGTTTAAGGGGGTTTATTACACTTTATCTTGAATTAATGTGATACTCCCAAATTTTCGAGCGTAGGTTGATCAGGTCAATACCAAAAAATATGGGGATATCAAAAATAATTTGGTAATATATAAGCACAGAATACAAAATGATAATAATAAAAGAAAATAAAAGCGAAAATGAATTATAATTAATAAATAACATCCAGATATACAAATCCTTAACTTTATAACTCCATTAATACTCCAAATAATACAACTCGGGAATCCTTTAATATGAGGACCCCTAAACCAAAATCCGTAATAAATCTAAAGTCGGAAAAACTCCTATACTAAAATAATCCGGAAGAGTGGAAGATAAATGAAATTTCTAATCCGCTATGTCCTCATCTCTGAAGCTGAATTCGATAAGGACCTGAAATATATCAACAAAGAGTGGGTTAAACCCACGAGTAAGTCCTCTTTACTACAACCCACAGAGAACCGATAAAGTAGTCATCTTGAACCAAAATCATCCCATAGCTATATAGTCATACATACATATACACACACTAATAAATGATCACTATATATAGGTAACCACATTCAGAATAGACAGCAACCACTTAGAACTCATACAGGATGGTTAAGTGTCTAATATCTAATCGGGTAATAACTCATATACATGTAATACATCACTGGGCAATATACGCCATCATCCTATACACTGAACATTGGTCAACCAATCCCTATAGTATATGTGATTAAACAATTGATTACAAATCCATATAATATCTATATAGTCAAACAATGACTACAAATCCCAAAAGAAATAAATCTAATAATCAACATTGAGCAACGAATCCCAACAACAAATATATAATTGAACTATGGGCTATGAATCCCAAAGGTAAATATATAAACAAATAATAGACAACATAACCCAAAATAATAAGTGTAAATACACAATGGCAAGAAACTCTATAATAATCAACCACATACCCAACAACCATAAAATCTATCAGGGTAATGTGAGTCTAAACTTTTTAGCTAGCTCATATGGTTCCACACATGCATATAAATAATCAACCACATACCCAACAGTCATAAATCTGTCCTGGTAAAGTGAGTCTAAACTTATTAGCCAGCTCATGTGGTTCTACAAATTATATAACAACACATCCATATGACTGCATTTTTTAGTCAGCCCACTCTCTCCACATAAAGCACACATCATAAAAATAATGATTATTATCATTAACAACTATGGCAACACATCCATATATCATAATATAATAATGACCATAATTAATAGTCAACACATCATTGTCCACGAAATACACACAACATAAATATAATAATGATTATTATCATTAACAGCTTATAAGCTATTTAACTTTCAAATAAAGTCCGTTATATTTTAATAACAACTAGAACATGATTAATATCATAAAAAATTTATAAATTTAATAACATAGTCCACGATATAATCCGAATACCCATTATAATTAAAATCATAAAATATATAATAAAATACCATTAATGATTAATATCATTAACAACTTAAACAGTTTAATAAAAATAAATCCCCAATAGACAACCATTAGAATTAAAATTATACGATCAAATAAACCAACATTAACTAAAAATAATACTGCAATTTATTATTTAATAATAATCATTAATTAAATTAAGTCCGCTTAATAGCCGTAGACATCAGAACAGCTATACATTTAATTTTAAATACTAATTTTATCGTAGTAATACCCTACGCGAAGCAAAACAGTACTATAACACTCCGTTGGGCCCAAAAATACCAAGTAGGTGCCCTAAAATGGGGGACTTAACTTCTAGAAGCCTAAGAATAGTTACTGGGGTCTACAGGGATTCTAGTCAGCTCCAGAGGCCTTTTACGCGCCCCCACACGCCTCCCAGAGCCTCCTGTAGTTTCCCCACGCGTTGCCACACCATACCAGGCATGTCCACACACCTCCCCACGAGCCTGGGGTCCCGCACGTGCTTAAGGCACTGCAAGACGCACACCCAGCACACATATGCGCAAAAATGGGCCCGCACACCCAGCACACATATGCGGTTGACGTGGCGTGCTCTGGTTGGCAAATGCAATGTTCTGCAACAACCTACATAGCTATTGGGACCATTAATGTAATGATTACTAAGTCCATTAAGGTCATACCAAACATCTATAAACATTATAAGAGGTTCTAAATTCTATGGAAATGATTTCCCATAAATAGTCCACATCAGTTTAAATAATTTCCTGACACTATCTAACTAAAACATACATAACTCCTAGTTGGATAGGAATCTGAAAATGAAAATGGTACTATTGGAAAGCTAACGAAAAATCCTTAAATTTAGGCGCAAGAATGACTCAATTTGGAGTTAAAACGACTAAGGCTGCGTTTAGTAACGAGAAATATTTTTTGTTTTCTGTTGTCAACCCCTAAAAAGGCAAAACAAAAACAAAAAACATGTTTAATAATATGTTTTTATTTTTCTGTAACAGAAAACGTTTTTCATTTTTGTGAAGAAAAGAGGAAACATAGAAAAGGTGTTTCCTATGTTTTCGACACTGTTGAGTAAAAACGTTTTCACTATTATTATTACATATACACTGTTCATTTCAAATAAATTGTATATTATTCATGTTATATACTAATGCTACATATTAAATACTAATAAATATAATTTTTTAATATACAGTTATATTATATTATATATTAGTGTAAATTATTTTTTATTTTAAAAAATATATATTTTTAAAATATAATATATTATATAATAGTGTAAATTATTTTTTGAGAAAAAAAATATGATTTATAATATATTTATTATTTATTTTATATAATACTATTAAATTATTATGCAACGGACCTAATATATTATTATATACCATATCTATATTATATTATTTAATTTTATTTATTTATTATAATATAACATATATTATATATTTTATAATAAATGTATAGAAGATGCATATGCATGCACTTATATACATAATTGGTGTGAGTATTTTTGTCATAATATATTTTATTTTATACTTATGTATTGGGTATTATTTGGATTTGTGATTTTAAATTAAATATTATATTTTATTATCCTGTATTGGATAGTTTTAATATTTGTGAAATAATTGCATAAATGTTAAGTAAATCTGTAACAAATATGTATTAAAAATAAAATAATTGCATAAATGTTTAAAGCTTTTTTTGTACTAATGACAAAAATTAAAATAAAAATAAAATAATTAAAAAATGTTAATTAAATCTATAACAAATATGTATTATTAAACACTGTTATTATTTTCTGCTTTCAAAATTGTGATAACAACAAGTGTTAATAAACGTTATTTCTGTTTTTTATTGTCACTCGAGAAAACAAAATCATGTTTCTGCTTTCTTAAGACTGTAAAAACAGAAAACAAAAACGTTACTAAACACACCATAAAGTAATGACTGTTTCAATTTCATGTCACAAAATAGGCAAAATAATAGGCTGAGCTCAAACGCTACTGTGAGTGCGCCCACACCAGATTAAAAGCTAAGCTCCTGACACATGGCGCATTCTGATTAGCTGCTACATCAACTCTGATGGTGTGCGCCGTACCAGATCATTTCACCGCAGCTCCATGTGCTCGCGTCACACCAAATCAGGTCCTGCAAATGCATGGAAGTTTTCATGCGCGCGCATGCACCAGAACTTCTCTTGTTTAATCAAGCCAAATTAATGGTGCTGATCTATGTCGCACCATAACTCAGTATACCATACCGCACCTAACTCAGCATCTCCTTCTCCGACTAAGTGGCCACCGATGGAAGGAAAATATCGCCGGAAATTGTATAATACATAAAAATGGCCGGAATTTTTTTAAAAAAAATATAGAAAAATTCCTAAAAATTATAGAAGCCTTATTTAACCTCTTTAAAGCCATAAATCTAACAATTGGCCCAAGAAAAATTCTAAAACACCTTTAAATCATTTAATTCCAAAAATTCTTTTTTTTTGAAAATAAAAAGAATTATAAATCTAATACTAGCATGATTTTTGATCACATAAAAGCATAGGCATAGAGGTGAAGAATTTATGGATTCAAAGGGGAAGTGTAGAGCATGAACTTGCCTTAAGGATTTAAAATCCGAAGTGAATATTTCGCCGGAAAATAAAATCTCCAACTCCGGCCAACCTTCCGGTCACCCTTATTTGCTACCTTCCTTCTCTCCTAGCTTCTGCCTTCTCCCACCTCACTGTAAATCACTCTCTCCTTCTCCCGAATCCCCTCTTCTCTCTTAAATAAATCAACACAACCTCATCATCTCATTAACTCATTACTCTATCTATCCGCAACCACATTCGGCTGAAGACCCATTTGTCTTCCTCTTTTTCCTTACACTAATTAATGCATATATATTAAATATAATATAATCTCTCTCCTTCTAACATACACTTAAATAATATATATATATATATAACTATAATATAATAAATACACATGGGTTGGGCCTAACATAAACCAAGCCCAACTTGAAATAATAGACAAGCCCATGTAACCCATGACCCAATAATAATATTATAGTCCAAAGTTCGGCCCAAAATAAATTAAAAAAATAAAACACAACTAATTACAAATAATAATAATACTAATAACAAGAAATTTCATGCAACAATTAACAACAACAAATAGTTAAATGCGCACACACAATGAATTAAATAAAAACAACAAACAGTTAACACATTAAATCAAAGCACATTATATACACATAATTAATTAAATTAAACCAATTAATGTGTATATTAGCTATTAATAATTTTTTTAAAAATCACGAGTATTACATTTTTTCCCCTAACAAAGGAATTCCGTTTCCGAAATTCACCACATGCATGAAATGAAAACTCTAGATACTTTGTCCAAATTTCATTTTCTGTTCACAAGTGGACTTTACCTCCTTTATAATGGCTCCACTAAACAAACACTCACAAATTACATAATTTTGACGCATAATATGTGGTTCTTATTGTCAAGAACACAATCAAGCTACACTAGGAACATTGTTTTTTTGGCAACTAGATCTCACCAACATCTATATGTCGGTAACTATATATCCTCCTCTCAGGGAAAAATACTCGATACAATAACCTAGAAGCGCCAATTTAGAGGCTACTGCGCGAAATCTGATACACACTCAAAGAAAGACCCACAAAGTAATAGTCATTCCTCCCATAACGCCTTGCTCCCTACTTGGAAATCACTTAAAGTAAAAATCTACTCAGTTCTTGAACTCTAACGTACGAGTTCAACTATTAGCATAACTTTTTTGTTTACCCTCGATAGTGCACATACGATCTCGTATGAAAACAATCTTTGCCGAAATGTCTGACCCAAAAATCTGTTCTGTCTAATATCTAACCCATAAATAAGAGATATTCACAATCGGCCTTACAAAGCTTCAAACGATGTCATACCAATAATCTTTATTAATAACTACTGTTATAAGCAAACTCCGACAGAGATAATTAATACTCTTAATTGTCCTTAAAATCCAAGACACATGCCTGAAGCATATCTTTCCTACTTGGATTAACCATCACAGTCTGTCTATCTGTCTGAGGGTGGTAAGCAGTGTTAAAATGCACAAAATAGTCCAAAACTTGCTGAAAATTTTCCCAAAATCAAGACACAAATTTTTCAGATCCCTACCCGATACGATAAATAACAGGATACTCAGAAAACTCATTATCTCCGCGAACTATACCTCAAGTCTATCTCCGAAAAAGTATAGATGGATCTTCTTAACCGGTCAAACAAGCTATCAATCCCTGACAACATTTAATTGTTGCCAATCGTGACCTTGTAGGCTCCTTGTATCTATACAAGAGCAAAGGAACTCAATTTTCTTCATAACACACAACACCAGTGCTTCATACGGTAAAGTACTCTACTTGATTAACAAGCTGGCTGAACCTAATCTTTCAGCTCTCACCCTTTTACTAGTTCTATTTATGTCGGTACTTGTGCGCAATCTATCTCTCAACTCGATGGAGATCCGAAGGTTTCTCTAATAACCTCAAAAATCAGAATCTACTAGTTTACTACCAGAGCTACGGTGATTACTGCCTGGAACTCCCCATATATAAGTCACAAGTGTGTGCTAGACCCACTGTCGGGTCGCGATATGACAATAAGATACACCCGATCTGTTCAGGTACATCAAACACCACGAACTTGTCATGACAACTAATCTAAGCATGGAACTGAGGTAATCAATCCACACTAAGTATCACTTCATACTTTTGTCCAATATCAACAGATTTGTTTATAAATCTGACTCTACCAATATATATGGTGATTTGCCCATAACTCTCTTGTAGACTCCTACCACTGCTAATGGGAAAATATTCTGAATTCTCTCCCTTATTAGCGCCTTAGTCCCGATTTACCTTCTATGGCTGAGGCTCATCATGAAGTCTATTCGCATTCTTCCTCCTACATCACCTCGTCATCTTATACGACGAAAGCAACGAAAGCAGCTAATGCCAATACCCAACAACGAACCAAAAGATAAGAGTACAATGAATTCTAATAATTAGGCTTGTTGGGATTTATATGCCCTGGCATAGCAAATTCCTATCTGGATTATAATGACATATGTTCCTGACATATCTGAAATATTTATGATTTATATAATTGGTGAATTCAATGTATTATGTTTCGATTCACTATGAAATTGATAGTGTCCATGTAATTACAAGAAATATTTATATATATGTATGTGATGGCAATCAATGCATGATATATAAATAGTAATTATAAATTGTTCATAGTCGGTAATTATGGATGGACTCATAATTAATTAAGACTTGAACTGGATTCGCGTTAGGTTGAGATATATTGCGAGAGCCGTCGTATGCAATTACTCCTTATCACCGTCATGGCATTTGACTCTTAAGCATGAGAAAAGTATAGACTCTTTTATTAATTAATAATTACTTTGATTTGTTCGGCGGATTCTTCGGGATCCTTAGATCGACACTTTGGGTAGTTATGTAATTAATAGTTAGAGGGTTATATTTTCAATATTTGCATCATTGCTACTTATATTTATTTTGTATTGATTATGGTTGATCACAAAGTAAATTCGAAGGCCTTCGTGTGTTTTTAGACAAAATGATTTATTATATATTTATTTATTTAAATTATTATTTTTGTCAAACAAATGTTTTATTGTGGTCGAGCCAGAAATAATCAGAGGTACCAAAATAGATATATTAATTAAGTAGTCGGATTGATGGCTTTATTTATCCGATAACTAATTATGCATAGAGGGGTCAAAGTGCAATATTGACTTAGAGGTTATTTATTATTTAATTGGAGTTCAATTAATTTCTTTTAGTGGAGTAGAAATTAATTTATGAATTAATTGAATTGGGTCCATGGACCGGGCCAATTATTAATTCATTGTAGCCAATAAAATAATAGGCCCAATGGATTCTCACTCATAGCCCAACTTGATATTGGAATCATATTAGATTTGAGACATATGAATTAGAGATGGAGAATGATTTATTATTTTCATTTCTTTATTTTTATGTTGCCTATAAATATACATGGTCTATGTATATTTTAGGGTGTGATTTTTAATGAGAAGGAAAAAGGAATTTATTTTCTCTCTCTAGAAAATTAGGGTTTATGTTCTCATCTAATGGAGGCTCCCACAAGCCTAGTTTTCCAAGGTTATTCATGGAGGCTTATGAGTGATTCCTAAAGGCAAAACAATTACCAAGAAGATGGAGATCCAAGAAGAAGACATCTTGCTAGGGGATCTACAATAAGTGAGAACATTCACTTTAGAGGAAAGTTTTAAAGGTTTATTCAGACCTTTGATGTAAGTATTCAATCTGTTAATTGAATGATACATCATATTTTTATTTTTGCGTAAAACTTGTCTCTATGTGATGAATCAAGATCTATGAATCAAAATCCCTCGAAAAGTTTTTAAAACTTGCACGTTTCCCAACAGTGGTATCAGAGCATGGTTTGATTCATTAATAGAGATCATGTTTTTATCAAAATTCATCATTCATGGATCCAATTTTGATATGCATATATATTTATTTATTGATGTATGTTGATGTATGATTTAATATGTTGATATATATTGATACATGATGATGTATGAATAATTGTGAATGAATGATGATGTATGGTTGGGCCATGGATGAAGCTTATAGGTTAAATTAATGTAATTTTATCTTTGGATGAATGTAATTAAGGCTTTGATTTAGCCGTTTGAAAGTTCAATGATATAATTTATTTTTCCCATTGTATTTCAAGTTGTAAATATTTTTAAAGCCATGGAATATTCATCAAAGGATGCTATGAAGCTTCAAGAAGGTCCAAAAGGGTTAAATTATGCTTCAGTAATTTTCTAGAATTTTTTCGAATTTTTTGGAATTTTTCTGGAATTTTTTGAGGCTTAATTTAATTTTCTGGGAATTTTTCTGATTTTTCTGGAATTTTTCGGCGTTTTTTCGGTGGCCGGAGCATCACCGGCGGCGAGAAGAGGCGTCGGAGGAGGCTGGAATCAGATATGGTGCATAGAGGGTGAGCCTGGCGCGTGAGGAACACGCGCCAGGAGGTGACATATGCAATGCACGCGCCAGCCAAGGTTGTATGACCTCCACGCGCGTGGAGGCGCGTCCCACGCGCTCCAAGCGCGTGCCAGCGCGTGGGGTGCGTGTCTTCACCTGCAGCATGCCCCAAGCACGTGTGAGCGCATGTGGGGCCCTCCAGGCGCGTTCCAATCGGTGTTTTGCTTCTCCCGGTGCGTTCCAGCCTTATGTGGGTGTTTGCAAGCCGATGGATGATCGTCCCGCAATACTTAGAGTAGTTAAATGTTAAAAGCTGATTCCATTGGCCATTTTATTTGCTTTATCTGTCATTTATTTATTTATGCGATGTATGAAATGTATGGAATATATAATTGTTAATTAATTATTATTCATGCATTGGATTCATGATATTTATTTAAATGGCTTGATTTATATTAATTAAGTTATGAAAATTAATTGGATCTGATTACTAATTAATTTGAGGGCACTTATTGGGAAACGCAAAATTATTTTTTGTAAATTATTTTTAAAGTGTGCTTCAAATTAAATATTAGTGAATCGTTTAAAGTTCAAATATTTTCTAAATTTAATTGGATTAAAATCAAGACGTTTTGCATGCATTATATCATGTAAATGAATAAAATGAAAACCCTAATTATGGATGATTAAAAATTGAGTGGGAGCGGGGATTTTTATACATTGCCCCATGGCCTTCGTTATTAACACCATTGTAATTAGGTCTTCAAAAATACGGCCCCACGCATGATTTGAAGAGTCTTAATATTACAAGAATGGTTATCTCATAAAAATAA